CACACACACACACACACACACACACACACACACACAGCACTTCTCAGATCTTCTTGTCACACTTCATAAAGTCAGGTTTGTTCAGGTTATGACTGGTAGTTGTTCTGTGGACTGAGCTTTTTACAACAAGTCTGTCCTGTCAGTTTAAACAGACGGACACGTCTCTGTCATTGTACCGTTTGTTTCTATTTTCTGATAAAGGAACAAACAGAGCTCTATGACATGTTTTAAACCTGGGATTTTTTGATTTAACACAAATACACGCATCACTTTTCAGATTATATCTGTAAAAACTTGCAGAATATTTCTTCCACAGTAAAAAAGTGTGGAAACACTCAGTGGGTGTGAACACTTTTTCAAGGCGTTGTATTTATTCTTGCATTTGATGTTAAACTTTTAACTTCATTTAGAAATTTATTCATTTCATTTATAACAAATAACTATAAACAATAGAAAATAAAAATATAAATCAAAGATCAAATAAAATGAAAGGAACAGAAAGAAGAATAAAATCTTATAATATCTGCCCCTGTTTTTAATCTAAATAAAATCATTTTCCACTTTAAACTGGATTGAAAAGCACACAGTTTGTCTGTGCAGCAGTTTGGTTTCGACACATTTCTGTGTGGAGGTGCAGCGAGACGAGAGCAACGAGGAGGAGACGCCTGCTGACTGATGATGTTTCTGTTGGCCTATCAACAGCTTTTAGGCTGAGTGACGCGCTCTGTTAAACACTGATACATGTTCAAAACATCCAATAAAACACAGTTACAACAATCACACAGCAAACACAACTCACACACACAACACATACACACGGCTGCGGCGCAGGCAGGCACTCATCTCATGGACTTTATGAAAGATGAGCTTTTAGGAGAACGGTTGGTGTTTCAAAAGGTGCTAAAATTTTATCTAAAAAAAGATAAATATATTGTTAGGAGTAAAAATCAAGTTTGTCTTTACAATGACTGTATTTAAGTTTGTTGTAGTTATGAAAAGGCACTATTATTATTTTACTCTTGTATGAATATGAACTAATTAAAAGGCATTTTAACTTTGTACTTGAACTATGTAAGAAATGAGCGGTGAATAAAAAAAGACTGTTCTTGTGACACTGTTGTGATCTCTGTTCAAACTGCACCATTTCCTGTGGTTGTAGGGGTTAGGGGTGTGTTCTAAAATGGATCATTTGTGAATTAGTTAAATARGCAATTTATCTGACCTCGAGGCACCACGCTCTTAATTTGGTCAAAAACTAATCCAGGAAAGAGATGAAAACCTGTAACTTTATTGTAATCAGTCTCACAATAAATGTACCCAAAATGGTTTGATGAGTTCTTGTCTTATCAGAACCAATAATACTTTATCAGAACCAATAATACTTTATCAGAACCAATAATACTTTATTAGAACCAATAATACTTTATCAGAACCAATAATACTTTATTAGAACCAATAATACTTTATCAGAACCAATAATACTTTATTAGAACC